TTGTACTCCCCTCCTCCCCCCCCACCCCACCCCACTGTCTGTGTCGTTGTCATTGCTGCTGCTGCTGACGCTTCCTTCTCTCTGAGCTGCCGGGACCTCTCTGCACCGGGCCTGGGCCGCTCCGGGGGCCGGGGCCTCCTGGGTCAGCCCGGAGGCGTGGGGGAGGGGCTGCGGGGCTGGCGGCTGGGAGGTGCCCGCAAAGATGAGCCCTGCTTCCCACTCTAGGAAAAGAAGACACTGCCACCCCCCCAACCAGGCTTCTAGGGCAAAGGTGGGTGGGGCTGCCTCCCTCAAGTCCTGAAACCCAGCCTCCGGTCCCCCAGGTGGCGCTAGGGCAACAGTCCTGGACCCTGGCAGGGTCAATGTCCCTGGTAGCCTTGACTATCCCCTTGGAGTTCAGGCCGGGCTGAGGCCAAGCCAAAGGCAGGACCCCTCCTGGGCACCTTGCCAAGGGCACCGGGAAGACCTCTGGGCTGCCTGAGCCTCTCCTTCAACTCAGCTGACTCAACCCCCCTTTCTCTCCCCCCCATTGCCCTGCCCCCCCCATGCCTCCTTTTTTTTCTTTCTCTCATCCTGTGTCTTTCTCTCCGTGTCTGTCCTTCTCTGCTCACAGGGCTTTGGGTTTGTAACTTTTGAAACTAGCTCAGATGCTGACCGAGCCCGGGAGAAGCTGAATGGGACGATCGTAGAGGGACGGAAAATTGAGGTGCTCAGATAAGTGCTGCGGCGGGGACACCCATCACCCCGGGTCCCCCACCCAGCTCCCTACCACCCTGCAGAGCACCAGGCCAAGGCCCCCAGAACAGGAAGCTGGGCAGGGGCAGGGCAGAGCCAGCCCGTCACCTGCCGCCCCTCTGGGTCTAGACTTCAGGCCTGCCCAAGGACCCCCCACGCCTGCCTCTCCTCTCCTTCCTGAGAGAGAACCCCCAGCTGGGGGGATCAGCCAGATTCTGGGAGGACCCTGGAAATTGTGTGTTTGAGGCTTGGGAGCTCCAAGGACTGTGGCCAGCCCAATCTGTACTCCAGTTAGGAGGGGGCCATAGGTCCCCCCTGATTCCTTTCACAGGGAGCAGCAGCTGCCCCCTGACCCCCCCATGCTGCCTGCCTGAGGTTTCCCCCCTGCCCTCACCCCAAAGGGCCAGCAGCAAGTGACCGGGGCCTAGAATGGCACCCAGCCCAGAGGAGCAGCAAGAAGGAGGCCAGGCCCCCCAACACCCCTGCCTTCTCCCTGTCCCTTCCCCAGAGGGCTGCACATCCCTTGCCAGAGGTGGCTCTGGGTGCCTGGGAGCTGGGCTCCCCCATGGCAGGGCAGCCAGGGGTAGTGGAGGGGGGCCAGCGGCTGGCATGAAGCCCACAGGAGGGGCAGTGGAGAGGTCTGAGGGGAGGGTACCCAAAGGGCAGAGTAATGGAGGCACTGACCTTGGCCAGGCTCTGGCCCAGCACTTGGTGGCACCTGAGGCTGTGGCCCAAGGCCGCAGGGGCTTACCCTGGCCCCTTCCTTGGGTTCAGCCACCTGCCCTGTTCTCTGCTCTCTTCCAAAGAGGCCTTCTTTCTTCCCTCCTTCCTACCACCCCATCGGGCCCCCGGGGCAGTGGCCAGGGGCCTAGAGGTCTGGAGAGTAGGACTCACCCCCATGGCACCCGCCTGCCTCTCCCTCATTGGCCTGGTCTCCTGTGGGCACATCAGAAAGATCTGGCCTGGGGGGAATGGGGCAGAAGGGTAGCCCTTTCGGTGCCTACAGCTAGGAGGTCTCTGCCTACAGCCACCCGGAGTGGAGACTGTCTTGGGGCAGGTCAGTTAGTTGGCCTGAGAGCACTTGGATGAGCGGCCACCAGCCAGCCTCTCCAGCGACCTTGGGTTGCCAGAGCCGGGTGGAGTTTGGTTTGTAGAACAGCCGTGTGAGGGTCGAGAGCCAGTGAGTGTGAACGCAGTGCCTGAGCCCAGGGCCGGGGCCAGGCCAGGCACTGGCCAGTGCTGGGAGCAGCGGCGGCCAAGGCTCCCGGAGGCAGGCGGCAAAGACAAGAAAGGGGGGCAGGCCAAGGTGGAGGCCAGGCTGTCCCACGCCTCTGCCTAGGTGCCCCAGAACCTCCCTCCCCACCTCAGCCGCCTCCTCTGAGGGGCCATGGAGAAGTGCAGGGCAGGACTGGGGCAGCCCAGGCCCCTGAGGAGGCTCACTCTCCCCTCCCCCTCTCCCCCCTCTGGGCAGGTCAACAACGCCACGGCCCGAGTCATGACCAACAAGAAGACTTCGAACCCCTACACCAATGGTAAGGGGCCCGGGACCCCTGGGAGGCTGTAGGGTCCACCACCGTCCAGGACGGAGGCCCTGGAGGAGCCCAGGCTGCCGGAGGCTGGCCTCCCTGGACGCTGGGTGCCCCAGTGTCCCAGCTCTCCTGTCAGAGGGGGACAGGTTGGCCAGCAGAAGGAGAGCGGGGCTGCCCACCCCCACGTGCATAGTTGGCGAGACTCCTGGGCTTTCCCATGCGTACGTGACACCCGGAGGACACGAGGACGGGCCAGGCATGGTGGCCCGGTGGCCACTTCCTGGAGCATTTCTCATTTCCAAGTGCTGAGAAAGGGCCTGGGCCAGAGGCTCAGGATTTAGTGAGGGCGGGGCAGTCCCCCAGGCCTTGGAAATACTGGGAGGTCCGGCCGCCAGAGTGAGTCCTGCTGGCCCAGCCGAGCTGTCACACTGTGCACCTGACCATCAGCACAAGTGACCGGTCCTCTTCGAGGACGAAGCAGCGTATGCTGAGTGCTGGTTGCAAAGAGACGTTGAGAGAAGTTCACTGTGGAAAACAAACTCACCGAGTTGGAACAGGTGTTACTGTTTATGGAAAACAAGAGACTGCCCAGGTGGGTCCCCAGCTGCCTCTGATCTGGGGTCCCTGACAGCGCCCTGCGCCAGAATCAGCAGGTGGAGGCACCCAGGAGTCCAGAATCAGCAGGTGGAGGTGCCCAGCCATCTGAGAGTGGACCCAGAAGAGCCCCTGGGGTAGAAGCTGGGGAGGCGGGCTCAGGTATTTCCTCTGGGACTCTGCTCCGTCGTGAATTACCACCCAGAAGACTCTGTTCTTGGGCCTGGAGGTCCTCCCAGGAGACCGAACATTTCCTCCCTCCTCACCTGAGATTCCTGACCCCAGCAGCAGCATTCAGACACAAACACCTGTGCAGTGGTGCGATGGGGACCAGTGACGACAGCCCCCAGGCTCGTGGAGAGTGTGGAGAATGGGCCCTGGAGGAACAAGGCCACCTGCCTGCAGTGGGACACACTATCTGCCTGGGGCCAGAGCCCACTCAAAGCCGGCTGGTTTCCACCCCCGGAGGATCAGACTGTGAGGTCCCTGGTGGGAGAGGAAGGCTGGCCCTGGAGCAGCCACCTACAGAGAGGGAGAGGCTGGTGCAGATTACAGCTGGGGCCAGGGCCCAGGTCAGGAACCTGGGTCTGGCTCTGCCACGCACCAGCTCTGGATGAGAGGCTGCTGTGCCTCTCGGCCTCCACTTATTCATCTGTAAAGTGGGAGGGCGGACACCGACCTCAGTGGGCAGGTTCCAAACAAGTGGTACATGTAAAGTGCTCAGGAAGGCAGCCCAGTGCCCCCAGGAGACAACACTCCCAGGACTGGGCTCTGTCTTGCAACCAGAACCCCTCATCCCAGCGGGGGGCGGGGGGGTGGCACACATTTACCTAACATGCCCCACATTCCCTTCCTAAAGCTCCTGCGGAGATCTCAGACCCCAGGGTGCTGGGGTGGTGCCCTCCCGGCATGCTGGGGAGGGCCACAATTTAGAAAGAATCGAGAAAACAGCCAGTGCGTGGGAAGTGATCCAGCCCCTGGGATTAGGAAGCAGAGAGCTCAGCCAGTGAGGCTGCAGCTTTGGAAGAGGGGCCCAGGGTCTGTGTCCCCCCTCCTCCAGGCCCTCGGAGTGTCACGGGGAGGGCGGTCCCCAGGTGTAGTGTGTGGTGGGGATAGGAGGGGGAAGATGGTGATGGGATCCTTTGCTTCTGATCTAGGCTGGAAGCTCAACCCCGTTGTAGGCGCAGTCTACGGGCCCGAATTCTATGCAGGTAAAAGGCTGGAGGGGTGGAGCGGGGATGGTGGGAGGTGGCCGGGCTAGTGTGCCCAGGCAGGTGTTGCGGTCAAGCGGGTGGGGGTGGGGCCAAGGTGGGTGTGACCAGATGGGCAAGGCCAGTGTGGCTGCCCTCACCCTGCCTCTGCCTTCCCACTCCCACTGTCCCCTCTCCTGCAGTGACGGGATTCCCCTACCCCACCACGGGCACAGCCGTTGCCTACAGGGGTGCGCACCTACGGGGCCGGGGCCGGGCCGTGTATAACACGTTTCGGGCTGCACCCCCCCCGCCCCCCATCCCAGCTTACGGAGCGTGAGTACCTGGGGAGCACGGGTGGGGAGGCATGGAGAAGGCCCAGGGGGTGTGGGAGGCCTGGGGCAGCCAGAGGGCTTAGGCAGCCTTTCCAGGGCTGCGGGAGGCTTGTGGGAACCCCCAGATCTGGCACTGCAGTCACATCTTGCTCTGCAGTACCCCAACCCCACCCTGCCACAGGGGACCAAAGGCCACTGGCATTTAGGGGACATTTAAGCCCCTGCCAAATGCTTAAATGGGATCCCCGTTGGGCCTGGAGTTCAGCGGGGGCCTCCTCTCAGCCCATGCCGGACCATTTCCCTGGGGCTGTGCCTTCCTCCACCTCAGTGGGGGGACAGCTGCCTGGGGGGGGCGGGGGGAGGGTAGCAAGATTGGCCGCTGGGCCCCTGGGTTTGTGGGAGAAAGGAGCTGACCAGCAAGGGTGTTACTCTATTGTTATACCAAAACAGGGCACTGGAGCAAACGCTTGTTAAAATGCCAGTCCCATGGGCAGGGCTGGCACCCTGCCCCCTCCCTCCTCAGCAGACTCCGGAGCCGGCCTACCCCGCCTCTCCAGCCTTCCCACCACTCTCTTGTCCGTTTGCTTCCAGGGTCGTGTATCAGGATGGCTTTTATGGCGCCGAGATTTACGTAAGTGCAGCCCCAGGGAGGGAGGGTGGCACCTAGGCCTTGGTCCGCTTCCAGGAGCAGTCAGTGTCCTTCCTACCCCCGCCCCACTCCCCCCACTCACTACCCCTGACCACTCCCGTGGGCCAGGGCACTGCACCTCTGGGACCTCACACAGCCAAATCTGGGGGACCCATGCACACGCTGAGAGTAGTAAGGGGTCACCTAACAGCCCAGTGAGCCACAGGCATGTCTTCCCATTTTTTTTTAATGTTTTTTAATTATTGATTTCAGAGAGGGAGAGAGAGAGAGAAACATCCATGATGAGAGAGTCCTCGATCGGCTGCCTCCTGCACGCCCCCGACTGGGGATTGAGCCCACAACTGGGGCCTGTGCCCTGACCGGGAGTCGAACCGTGACCTCCTGGATCCTAGGTCAACGCTCAACCGCTGAGCCACGCCACCTGGGCCATGTATCCCCGTTTTGCAAGGCGTTGTGTGATGGGGCAGCAGGGTGTGGCTGAGTGGAGGAGTGAACGAACAAATAAAGGGAACAGACACCCCACCTACCCTCGAACCCTGCTGCTGGGCGGTGTGCAGTCCTCAGACCTCCTTTAGACCGCTGGCTGGGCACCCCCAGACCTCCCCAGCTGACCAGCCAAGGTTGAGAGGCTGTGCCCGCCCCACTGAGCCCCGTGCGTCTCTCCCTCCCCTCCTCCTGCAGGGAGGCTATGCAGCCTACAGATACGCTCAGCCGGCCGCGGCAGCCGCCTACAGCGACAGGTACCACGGGGACAGCCGCCACCTGGGGCAGGGAGCCAAGTGGGGAGATGACCACCAGCTGCTGCCAGCAGGGCTGGGCTCAGACACACGGGAGGCCTGACCCAAGGCTCGGGGCCTGAGGATGGCTCCGCCTAGTGGGCGCAGGGTCTGGACAGGGGGGAGCAGGTTTGGATGGGCTTGGAGACCCCAGAACAGCAAGCAAGCCCCCCCAGTTCTGTAATCACTTCCTGCGTGCACAGTGGGGGGAGGCTGTGGCCCCCAGTTCTCAGGGAGCAGAGAGCTCCCCGCCAAGCTCTGGAGGCCCCAAGTGAGAAGTAACCCGGAGGCTTCCCTTTGGCCCTGAGCGCCTCTGCTGTTCTCAGAGCTCCCAGGTCGGAGACTCTCTGGCCCTGGGAAGGAAGGGCGCGGACTGTGCCCATCGCCGCCTCTCGGGTGCGGTAGGACTGGGGCGTGCGTGACACTGGAGAGCGGTGGCTTCTGCCCAGTGGCTGGCACTGGTGTGTTCTGAAGTCAGGAAGTGTCTGGGAGGAGGCGGGAGACCTGTTGCCACCTCTCACCTGCCCCCCCGCCCCACACNCCCCTCCCTGTGCTGTCTCCCCAGTTACGGCCGAGTCTACGCGGCTGCCGACCCCTACCACCACACCATCGGCCCCGCGGCGACCTACAGCATCGGAACCATGGTAAGGAGGCGGGCGGCCCGGCCCTGGGCGCCGGCGCGACGAGGCGGGCATGGCACTGGGCCGGGGTGCGCGGGCGGGCCCGTAAGAAACCAACCCAGACCTCAGACCAGCGCCCCGGGCCTGGAGGCTGGGAGGATCGAGGCCTGGATTTGAGCTGCGGGGAGGGGACTGCCCCTTTGTGCTCTCGTGGGGTCAGGAGGAGACAGGTCTGCCCGGACAGTCAGCTGCCCAGTGAGGATATCTGGTCCCCTGAAGTGTCCGGGTGTGGAGCTAAAGCCCAGCCCGGCCCCCCGGCCCGCCAGGAAAACCCGCCAGACCTTCCCAGCAGAGGCTCCAGAGGCAGGCAGGGCCCCCTCCCCTCCCCTCGTGTGGGTGTGTCTGTGCCATGGTTCCCCCCTCCCCGTGTCCTGTCACCCCCTGCTGTACCTTTGCTCCCACTGAGGTGGGGACCAGGGCTGCCCCATTTCTCACCTACACCTCTGGCTGCCGGCTGGAGCCCCTCTCCTGGGGAAATGGGGCTGCTCTCCCCACCTCTGGCAGCTTCCAGGGGGAGAGAGGGGGGCACCCTCCTGACAGGCCAGTGTGTGTGTGTGCGTCCGTGTGTCCAGCTGTCAGCACATACAGCCCAGCTCACTCTGTCCCCCAAAATCCGCTTCCAGTGGACCCCTCCTTCCTGTGCCCAGCCCTGCCCCACCCGGGGTCTGTAGCTAGCTTGGCGCCCAGCATCAAAGATGAAAACGTTTGGGGGTAAGAGGGAGGAGACTCAGAGCCAGCGTGGATGTTTTTTCATCTCCTTTGGTTTTGATTCCTCCCTCCCGATTTTTGTTTCGTGGTTTTTTTTATTTTTAACAAGCCTCACGCCCACGCAGCCACAGGGGGAGGCCTCTCGGGGGCCCACCCCCCGCAGGATGGAGGCCCTGGTGCAGCGGATCATGGGCCCCTCCACGCAGCTGCTAGCGAAGGGCCCTCTCGTGGACTCACAGAGGATTCCCTCTTTTCTTTTTTCTTTAAGATTTTCTATTTTTTCACCCCAACTTCTCTGGCGCTTGCCGTTCTCTTGCCTTTTCTGCTAGAACCGGTGGGTGGGGTGGGAGGTTCCTGTGGAGGCCGCCCTGACCCGGGGCCGGAGACAAGAATGTCAGAGAGCTGTCCACTCCGAGGGACCAGGAGCAGGGCCCCTGTGACCCTGAAGGCTGCTGGAGCTGGGCAAACAGGCACAGCCCCTCCTGTCGGAGCCAAGGCCAGGGGAGCCCTGACAGGAGGTCCCTTCCCCCTCCCTGTGCCTGGAGGGGCTCCGTCCTGCCCCACAGCGGTCCTGGGGCGCTGAGGAGGCCGGGCTCTCACTCAGATGAAGGAGAAGCGTACGGTGAAGGGCCCAGTGGGCCAAGAGCGTCCCCAGGAGACATCTAGTCCGTTGTTATCCAGGACTCC